AGCCGTTCACTTTCGCTTTGCCGTTGCGGCCATGATGACCATAACAACAAAATAACAATACATAAAAGGCCATCATTATCATGTTATTCGGCTATCTATGTGGTGTGGTGTGGTGGTCATACTTATTCATATTTATGTATCAAGTAGTAGAATTTGAGGATGGCAGCATGGTCATTATTTCAGACAAGTGGTGTATGCCGAAAAAGCAGAATGTGAATTGGACGCCATTGAAGGAATACCACAGGGTTCTGAGAAATCTCTCGAGTGCATCATCCAAATGGAATAAGTTCCCAATAAAAAGAACATTTTATGAAACTGGTATTTATACTACCTACCTATAATATCATTTTGTATTTAATGTGGTAAAGGAACATCAATATAATTAAACGAAAAAAATCTCATCTTTTCTGATAATTATGATACAACCCTAATACAACAGTGTTTTTTTTACCTACAGAAAATTTCAAAATAGCACAAAATAAACTGAAACATGCAGAAGATTTCAGTGATATAAGTAATCGTAAAGATCACGTCATTTTGACGTCATAAGGATGTCGTCATTTTGACGCCATTAGGATGACGTCATTTTGACGACATGAAAATGACGTCATTCGTCTTTGACTTAGAAGGTCATATAAACGTCATTATGACGTCATTTTGGAAGTCATCCTGACGTCAGGCCTGACGTGATAATGACGTACAAATGACGTCAGCTTGTTACCTGGGAAACTGATGAAGGCATTTTTGTAGTGGGCCAAACACTAATCAATCCAATTCTAGTAAAAAGCGACGTTCTTCAAGATGTTGCGGCATCGGGCATCTGCTATAATACAGCATGCAAAAAATACAAATTGCACTTTCATTTTCAATATTTACCATTGTTAATGTTTTACTTATTGTTATTTGAATGTTCTTCAAATAAGTTTCCTATTATATAGATGAAAAAAATCTATTTCATGATTTTTCAGTTCATGAAAATATCGTGCGGAAAAGTTACTTAACCGCACTAGTGCTGAAAAGTTACTTTTCCGCACGATCTTTGTACTGTTCAAAATAAGGATATAAATGCCATTTTGTAGCATCATTATAAAATATTGCTTATTAAAAACCTTTATTTACGACTAATATATAATATAAATATTATATTTGTGGTTTTTGAAGTATAATGCCATATAAACTACTTACCAGATGAAGTGGGACAGCCAAAAAATTGACTAATTTTGATAAGCTATAACTCGAATATTTCTTGGCCGATGTTGGGTTTCCAACCAAAGGAAGAAAGCGTCATCCTTGAACTATGCGTCATCGGCGTCGGTTTTTTATTTTTGCGATTCGTTCTCTTTGTACAGAGTGTAAATTAAGAGCCAAAAAAAATTCAAATTGTTGACCAATAATTTGGGAAATGTGAGGGACCCTAGAATTCTTTTCAAGATGTTGGGTGAATGGTTGGTCCGATACCTCGGGAGGTCTTTGAGATTTTTTTGATAAATTGCGTTGCTATGGAAAAATCGCCATTTTATGAAATTCCATTTTTATTTCAAAATGTGGCCTTTCCTAGTTGAACAATAGCAGCCAACATGTGAACTGCAATATGGGATATTCCTACTGAAGATAATTAATACCAGTGGCGCGCAAAAAGGGGTTAATGATATTTAGAAACGAAAAATTCGTTTTCATTGGAAAAATTCAACAGTTTTATCGATAGTTACAGTTGGAGAGGTGTCATATCCCTAATTAGCATGATGTTGACAAATACAGAGGCGTGCAGAAAACGGGCGTATGATATTCAGAAACTTGAAAAACGATTTTATTGAAAAAAAAACAACAGATTCATTGATCGTCACAGTGAGAAAGTTTTCATACATTCAATTAGCATGATGTTGTCAAATTCAGAGGTGTGCAAAAGGTGATTCTGTAATCGTTGACAGATTAAAATTCCAGTTTCATAATTTAATAAGAGAATCCATTAATACATTAATTAATTAATTAATTAATTAATGCGATTAAAAATTTTTGTTCGCCCAGTAAAAAAATTCTTGATAGTGTCATGATCGGGTCCGAGTAGTTGAAATAAAAAAAATAATCATCTAAAAAAAATGCTTTTTCAGAAATAGGACGAGAAAATTGATAAAGAAAAATTACTTGAAAATTTTTTTTGGGGACGAAAATTAAAGATTTGTTTTGACAAAATCATCAAATTGTACGGTTCGAGAAACATCAGAAGCCAGAGTCACGTTCCTGAATTTTCATTCATAAATAATGATACAAGAAAATTTTCACTGGGCGAACAGGGAACAACACTTGATGAAATCCTTAAAAATGATTCCATATCAAACTTTTTGAATCGCCTTGAATGATGGATCCTCTTCAATACGTCAATGCATCACTTGGATGCTCACCTTGAATAAGTAAAAACCTCGGTAAAAACCAATGATAATGAGACTGGAATTTTAATTTGTCCACATTACAGAATCACCCTTCGCACGCCTCTGAATTTGACAACATCATGCTAATTGAATGTATGAAAACTTTTTTACTGTGACGATCAATGAATCTGTTGGTTTTTTTTTTCAATAAAATCGTTTTTCAAGTTTCTGAATATCATACGCCCCTTTTCTGCACGCCACTGGTATTAATTATCTTCAGTAGGAATAACCCTTATTGCAGTTCAGATGTTGGCTGCTATTGTTCAACTAGGAAAGGCCACATTTCGAAATAGAAATGGAATTTCATAAAATGGCGATTTTTCCATAGCAACGCAATTTATCGAAAAAATCTCAAAGATGTCCCGAGGTATCGGACCAACCATTCACCCAACACCTAAAAAAGAATTCTAGGGTCCCTCACATTTCCCAAATTATTGGTCAAATATTTGAATTTTTTCCGGCTCTTAATTTACACTCTGTACAAAGAGAACGAATCGCAAAAATAAAAAACCGACGCCGATGACGCATAGCCCAAGGATGACGCTTTCTTCCTTTGGTTGGAAATCCAACATCGGCCAAGAAATATTCGAGTTATAGCTTATCAAAATTAGTCAATTTTTTGGCTGTCCCACTTCATCTGGTAAGTAGTTTATTAATCCCTTAGGGAATAATGGCGAGGGATTAATAGTCTTTATTCCCTCTTGTACTCCTATCACAAAAGTTCTCGAATTAAATAATACCATGGAAACAATATAACCAAACTCAAAAGTGTCAGTGTCAAACGCGTAGTGTTTGTGTATTTGTATTAAAATGAATGAAAATGAAGAATCTTTCACTTGTACACCACCAGAAATTGTACAATTAGCTGCAGCAACAACATCTACCTTAATACCAGAAACATCGAAATCCATTTATAATAAAACGTACGCATCGTTCAACGAATGGCGTCTACGAAACAAGGCAAACTCTTATTCCGAAAATGTTCTGCTGGCCTATTTCGCTGAATTGGGTGCAAAATACAAGCCATCTTCATTATGGTCATTCTATTCAATGATTAAATGTGTGTTGAAGATAAACCATGACGTTGATCTGGAAAAATATAAGAAACTACGAGCGTTTTTAAAAAGAAAATCTGAAGGATTTCAAGCAAAGAAATCTTCCACTCTGACCCCGGAAGAAATTAGGAAATTTATTGACAGAGCTCCTGATGAAATTTTTCTTTTGCATAAGGTAAATGTTCATATTTAATCTGATCTATTCAAAAACTCATGTTCTTATTTGATTCAGGTTATATTAGTTATTGGAATTATGGGCGCATGCCGCTCAAACGAGCTTTATGAAATGAAGATAGAAGACGTGAAGGATTTCCAAACAGAGTTATTGATAACAATACCCAAGACTAAAACTAAAATTGTACGAAAATTCACCATAAACAGTACGTTTTACAATATTGTAAAGAAGTACATCGATCTCCGTCCGTCACATGTAGAAACCAATTCATTCTTTCTAAATTATCAAAAATCGAAATGTACAATACAACGTATAGGAAAAAACAAATTTGCAGACATTGGTAGACAAATTGCCAAATATTTAAACTTGCCCAATCCTCAAAGTTATACCGGCCATTGTTATCGCAGATCATCTGCCACTCTGTACATTGATGGAGGAGGCGATATAACTGGATTGAAGCGTCATGGGGGCTGGAAATCTACCCAAGTAGCTGAAGGATACATTGATCAGTCTATGAGAAACAAAACAACTACAGCAGATACTATTGCCAAACAGATAAATAGTAATGAAGCAACTTCTTCTTTTACAGCAACCGAAATTCCAAATATTCGTGTTGAAAACTCTTCCAAAGTTAATCATAATTTACGACCAATTCAGTTTATTAATTGTACTGTCACTAATTTAAATGTTATTGACAAATAAAGTTGTTCATTGAAAATCTAAAATAAATGTTATTGACAAATAAAGTTGTTCATTGAAAATCTAAAATAAATAAATTTGTCGTAAATAAAGTAGAGTATACTACTCGCAATAATGGCTATTATTCTCTCGGAATGTTACTCCCTCGCCGCTAACGCGGCTCGGTTCGTAAAAATTCCTCGAGAATAATAGCTATCATTATTGACTCGTGGTATAATCTACTATTTTTTTCTCATGAAAAATATGGACAAAAACACTCATAGGAAAAACTTTGTACCTAACTCTTGCGGAAAATGTCTTTTCCGCCCTTGACGACTTGTCCGAACCCCGCTCCGCGTCGTTCGTGCAACTGCCGTCGCGTGCGGAAAAGTACTCTCATGTTCATAATTTATCTGAGATATTCCTTCTCAATACGTTCACCCCATCAAGGGGTTCGAATTTGAACAATGAAAAATTGTTAATTTGATAGACATTCAATCGCAGATTCGTCATAATAAGGTTTTCTCTCGAGTTTTCTCAATTCAGAATTTCTTTCCACGTCCTGTATGATGAATATCAATTTGTCATACATTCGGAAATTATTATCTCTGTTGATATCTGCGCTGGGATTGTCTCGGGATATTACATACGATAATCCAGATTATTGAAGGGTTGTATGAAAATAAGCCGGACTACATATTTATTTAGAGACATATACATTACATAATATCATTTCATGATGGACCTCCTTTTCTATTCCAAGGCTGTTCTTTCACTGATCCGAACAATATCCATGTTAGTCCACAAACAACTACAATACCTCCTCCCAGCATGAACGCTATGCCCCATTCTCTTATTCCATTCTGTGGAAGAAACATCGTAATTTTAATATGAAAAGCAAATAAGAATATTCGAAAACAGTTAGTTGGATTTGGATGATAGAATGCTGTAGTTTAGTCAGAGGATATTTTAACATCGTGTGCTTTTTGATGAAATCATACCAAATTTGACACTGAGGTATAAACACAAATCTTATAATCTTTTTCTACTCACATAACTAAAATGGCATTTAGCGTACGGATATATATGTACCACGCTAAATGATCGATTAATAACGGATTGACGATCTGTGATTTATTCAAAATATTAAACACGTTACCATGGCAACACGATTTCTTGAACACATTACCATGGCAACACAGTTCATTAAGCACAGCTTCAGTGATTTGAGACATGTCTGGCCTGCCAATTGTATTAACTGTCAACTGTTATTTCAGAATTTTGTATCAGAATTATTCAAACAATATTCGTTTGTATCAGAATTCTTCATTAAAAATATACCTATGCGAAAAGTAGACGAAAGTGAAATCGAAGAGAATGTTCTGGTACTTGCATATCTCCAAGAAGTGTAAAAATGAAGCATCCATCTTTGAGAACAATTTATTTATTTTGCGCTAAGCATGACAATAAACGTGAAACAAAGGTTAGTAAGCAATGGACTGGACACATCTACAACCAATATCACATATACGTGTCTCGCTGGTTGCATGCAGTTAGTTGCATGTATCATGTTCTCAATTCCCATTCCTTCCGAATTATTTTGTAGGTTAGCAGGAATTGCAGGTATGTTAATGTAATTTTCGGAGTTCGTAGAAAAATCATAGTATATGTAACGCGTTTATAAACTCTTCTAGACACTCGTTTATTAAACACTCGCTCCGCTCTGCTCCGCTCGTGCTTAAACTACTCGTTACTAAAAGGAAGTTTATAACACTTGTTACATAATATACTATTATATCTCACGACTAGAATGCGTATCCAATATGGCGGACGAATAAATCTTGCATCGGCTGCAACACTGTAAGTGAACCATCATAAACAGTAGCGGCGTTTGAATTCGTAGCGAGATGTAAATGGCCGCCAGTGGTGTTTCTCGAAGATAAGATGGAAGTATTATTGAATGAATTATCGGAAAATCAGAAGATGACTATAGAATTCCAATAAGAAACGTAGATGATATAAGTAAATGAATGTGAGAGAGTAGTCGTCGCTGACTAGTTAGAAAAAAAACTAGGTTCATTGGGGAATGCGGCAAAGTAAAAAATGTCTGATCTCAGTTTTTGAAGAAGGAATTCACTGCATAAATATAGAATATATTTGAAATGAGAACATTTCTCATATTATTACATTTGCTGTAAAACTGTCAGGCTATATGCCGATTTAATCCTAATTGAAATTTGTCATTCAACTGTTTATAGAATTCACATTCCAATAACCTTGCTTCACTTCATTCTTCATTGTGCTGGAACCGGAAGAGGAAGATTTCTTTTGGCTGAAAAATATAGGGTATCTCATTGAAGTTCGTACTACAAATTCCTCATAGAAAAATAGTAGATTATACCACGAGTCAATAATGATAGCTATTATTCTCGAGGATTTTTTACGAATCGAGCCGCGTTAGCGGCGAGGGAGTAACATTCCGAGAGAATAATAGCCATTATTGCGAGTAGTATACTCTACTTTATTTGCGACTAATATATAAACTTGTGGTTTTTGAAGTATAATGCCATATATTAATCCCGCAGGGAATAATGGCGAGGGATTAATAGTCTTTATTCCCTGCGGGATTAATATATGGCATTATACTCCAAAAACCACAAGTATAATATATTAGTCGTGAATAAATACAATTATTATACACCAAACTGAATGGTCTTTTTCTCAGACCGCTCTCATCAAACTTCTCGAAGAGGCTAGAATATATTCCTGATGGATCAAAGACAATGTTATCACAACATATGAAAATTCGAGGACAGTGTTTTCAACAGCTTCACTGAAAAGCGAGAATCAAGATGTCGGTTTTGGGTTAGGCTCAAATCTCACCCTCCATTTGGTCAGAAGGAAACTAGTCCAAGTTCGAATATATTTCAAGACCATTCTTTGTCATTGGATTCGAAAAACCTCGAGCACATTTTATGTGATAGGTACAGATAGCATAAGAAGTATTTCAGATAGGTACTTATAGAACTTTCAACTTCGCCCTCATGTTCAACAAGGAGTTATGTCTTGAACATATCACTACATCACAATAACCAACTATAATATTGATATCACCACGAAAATCTGATTTTCGACTCTTCGGAAATAAATTCAATGACAAGCAGTAACAAGTGGCAGCTAATAAAACTGGCAACATTTTGTTGTTTGAAAACAAACCGATGAAAATGCATGACGTACATCTCAGTAGTTTTTCTTTTCTCCTGTATTACCATAAAGCCAAGTTTGAGATCGATATAATTTGACCCATATTTCAATGCCGATGTTTAGTTTAAGAATTTTGTATGAAGCCTTTGGATCGCGCATTCTAATTGAAAGATATAAAATATTATGAGTTCTGTGGGTTTAGATCTGTCTTCTGGCGATCGTGGCGATCATTATCCAAAACTTTCCAGAATGGTCAATTTGGCAGTATTGACTAAACATCGATTGTTTTGCCTATCGATAGTTTTATTGGAGTGAAAGTGAGGTTGGAACAAAGTATTTGATGAAATAATAACATTTTATCAAACGCTTTCTACACTTCTGGCAATACGATTCCGTCCAATTTGTTGGTTCTAAAATGCAATTGGGTGGGAATGAAGTGAATAAAGGACTTGTGAAAAAATGAAGAATGACGTATGGCGTCTGGCGCAGGCGCATGCATTGCGCATGCTCAGCCAACTCCTCAACTCCTCTCTTTCAGGTTTAAGCTTAGGAATAGTATGAATAAATTCATGTTGGGGGTTTTGCATCGGCATATCTTCCTTAGGTCTACAAAAATTCAGCAGATTCATAGGAAAAACACAGTTTCCAATTACATCTACTTCAGTTTTACGCTATCGATACTATCGATCGCTACACACTATCGATGGTTTTTGATAGTCAGAACTATCGAATATATCGATAGTTGTGAGATGTGTAGGCAACACTACAATTTGGAGTCTCTCATTACCTGATAGCAGAGCTGTGCCGTGCACTGACGAAAAGTGTTTCGAGCACTAAGCACTCAGCACTCCTGAAAAGTGCTCTGGAATCTTGTTAGAGCACTATGCGCCTTCATTGCAAAAATGCTCGCGATTTCTAAATACATCCAAGAAGAAATTCGACATAGCGGGCACTAAGCACTAAGCACTTTTTGAAAGGATAATACCGTTATACACTTAACAAACTTTCTGACATGGTATTTGTTTGTTAACTCAGCCGTCTACCTTGACCCTCAGATTTCCATGCATTAGTGATGAAATATTATTTGATTGTTCCTTTGAATAGAACTTACTGCGTGTGCGGTGCGTACTGCACTTTGAGTTCTGTGACTGAGATCTGAACTCGGTAATGAGTATGCTCCGCCTCGTGCCCTGCCATAAACATTCAGAACAAGACAGTGATTTTTCGGAGATGAATATGGAAGCGATCAAGTTCGTCTTGAGTGGAGGTGCTACCGGCCACCTTTTCTTGTTTTGACAATAATTTTCTGTAGTAGTCCATGCTCAAAGTGGAGTGGAATGATCAATAGAGAGAAAACTCAAAGTCCACTCCACTTTGAGCATGGACTACTACAGAAGATTCTTCAACGCCAGTCGAGCAACCTTAGTTCGCCAGTACCACAAAGTGTTTCTACAGAGGAAACTGACTTCACTTGACATCTGGTTCAACAATGAATGTATTCGCAACTCCCTCACCCCCAGATATATTTCACTACGTTCTAGGCACAGTAATCTCTCCTCTACAAGAGCGATCACAGCAGCACAACGTGTTTGGATTAAGTCTGAGGTAAGAAGGTTGTACTCAAAACTAAATGAAATCAAAAAATTGTGGAGACGACTTTGGGTTTTTTCTCTATTGACAATAATTCTTATAAGTATGGAAATGCTTTGTGCTTAGTAATTCCGAAAAGTGATCCCGATCACTGAAATGCTTGGAAGCACTAGTAAAATGCTCATAGCACTAAGCTCTGGTTCGAAAAAGTGCTCGGGAGCACAGTGCTTACGAGCATTGAATTGCTATTAGTGCTTTAACGAGTACTAAGCACAATGCTTCGAGACAGCTCTGCCCGATGGTAAACCCACTCTAGACCTCTCACCTGGAACGTCCTTTCAGTCGCCTTCTACGACAGGCAGGAGCTACCTTAGGGTTATTTTTAGTCCGACTAGAGACCCCACCAGATATAATACAACTTCGCGATGAAAACAATCAAATATCTCGCAGCTTACTTATTATTTGCAAAAAAAACGTCGCATTCAAGATACACTCCAGAAATTCAGAGGTTATATCATCATATCTACATAATACACCCGCAACCAGATGTCGAAAGATTACGTTGGTATGACTTACTAATGAGGTGAAGGTTGGTCAATACGAACACATCACTGATAAGTGAAGTCACTCTGACTCAATTCATGAGATGTGATGATAATTACATCAACATAACGTCGATAAAAAACTATAGGAGTATCGCAAACATCATGACGTTGTAATAACTTGTCGGCGACCTCTTAAGGTTACGTCGATGTGATTTACTTATCAATTTGGTAAAATAAATTGTTCAAACAATCTGTCGAAAAGTAGAGGTCATTTGACGTCACTATGGTACCTGGGGTGAGCCGTGAACAAATATGAGTTATATAATGTCATTGAGCTCTGAGTCATACATGTTATTTGTCACATTATCTTACATCAAATCATGAGGTGAACTCAATTTTCCTACTGCCGTTGAAATAATAATATATCGTCATCTGCTTGCCTAGGTAATGACTGTCCATCCAACCATTTTCATATTCCATGAAGAAACTCACGTTATATTTAGTTAGCTCTCCAGTAACTGCAGGTACTAAGAACCCAGTACACCCACCAATGAAACTGTTGAAGCCATATATGGTAGCAGCAAAATTTGGCGCTAAATCTTGAGGATTTTGTAAATTACTTTGAGAGCAAGCACCATTCAGACCCAAACTGAGTGCGAGAAGAAGCATGACCACTATCCAGTTACATCCCACGAAGCCGATGCCAATAAGTAAGGCTCCTGTCAGGATGTGAGCTGGAAAAAAAAATAACGTTCCACTATGAATGCGTCAAGGAGACATACATTGGTAGAAACAAGTAGCTTATTTTCATCAAGTTTGTCGAAGTATTAGATAGGTATCAGGAATTTGCTGATCGTTGAAATATGTGGTTGATTGAGTAGAAACTTCTAATAGTCATAAACAGTGTTTCACTTTGAGTGGTGACGATTCCATATACACTCACCGGCAAAAAATAGCCACAAAAAATTTGCCAAATCGTTCGCCCAGTAACTTTCAAGTCTTCTGATTCCGGTTAGATTTTGATTGAACTGTAGATCCATGTTTCGGAAATGTAAGCCTGAATTTGAGTATCCAAGATATGCTGATGGCATGATCATTATACAGTGTGTCCCACTTACCATGCTCACCATGGGTATCTTTTTAACGGTGAGAGATACGAGGTCGGTTAAATGACACCAAATGTGGAGTTTGTCATGGCCAACTATAATGTGAAAAAATATTTTGATAGAATCTATTCGTTTTTGTTTTATACGCAAAAAATAGGTGCTTGTTGTCAAATCATCGAATGACGTATCCATGGTACTATTGGAGAGTTTCCACTCACTTGATAATTTGGAGAATCAATCACTCATAGATAGGTATAATGGCTAATGAGATATGTTTGAAATGTGGAAACATTCAAACATTTGGAATAACAACGGAAATAAGCGATATTTCAGACAGCGTTGTTTTGTTACAGCGCCGTTTTGTATAACGCGTTGTTTTGTCACGCGCTGTTTTGTTACGCGCTATTTCGTTACAGAGCCGTGGTAGGCATGTGAGGTGATGCTGTAGCATCAATTCAAGGTAACCATGTTGTTACAATATCACACAAGAGCAGGGTTGCCAACAGGTGTGCTATGATTTACTCACAAGAAAATGTGAAATAACTCACAATAACTCACAACCATCAAAATATCAACATCAAGGCAGATTTTTCATAAATGAATGATACAAAATAAAGGAAAATTTGATAACAAACTTATAACGTCTGCCTTTTTCTGCCACAAATACTCTCAACTGTCAAAAAATAGGACAGAGTTAGATAGGTATCAGGAATTTGCTGATCGTTGAAATATGTGGTTGATTGAGTAGAAACTTCTAATAGTCATAAACAGGGTTTCACTTTGAGTGGTGACGATTCCATATACACCCACCGGCAAAAAATAGCCACAAAAAATTTGCCAAATCGTTCGCCCAGTAACTTTCAAGTCTTCTGATTCCGGTTAGATTTTGATTGAACTGTAGATCCATGTTTCGGAAATGTAAGCCTGAATTTGAGTATCCAAGATATGCTGATGGCATGATCATTATACAGTGTGTCCCACTTACCATGCTCACCATGGGTATCTTTTTAACGGTGAGAGATACGAGGTCGGTTAAATGACACCAAATGTGGAGTTTGTCATGGCCAACTATAATGTGAAAAAATATTTTGATAGAATCTATTCATTTTTGTTTTATACGCAAAAAACTGATTTTGATCATTTTCATGTCTCCTACATAACTTCTTTATTTATGAAAATATTCAAATAGGAATTTCACATTCTCATGGCAGTTTCTCAAAGTGATTTTGAAAAAAATATGAAATTTATACCAACTCTTCTAGAATTTCAGATATCAGCACCAACTTCAGTTTTTCAAATGTAGTTCATAGCTCACTATGACTTAGTTACAAATAACGTTTTTTTCTCTTACAGATGATATGTCGCAGTGATAGTTTTGTGTTGATAACAACGGAGTTATCGTTATTTATACAAAAACAAAAAATTATTTGGAAGCCGCCATCTTGAATTTATAAATTTTCACATGAAAATCATGATCTCCGACATCAAAAACCCCCCACTCACCAATTTTGAATGGAATGGAAAGTAAAAAGAATGGCTGTTCCAAGAAAGCGGACAAGATTTGGTCCGATTCCATTCAAAATTGGTGAGTGGGGGTTTTTGAGGTCAGAGATCATGATTTTTTTGTTAAAATTTATAAATTTAAGATGGCGGCTTCCAAATAATTTTTTGTTTTTGTATAAATGACGATAACTCAACACAAAACTATTACTGCGACATATCATCAGTAAGAGAAAAAAAAGTTATTCGTAACTAAGTCATAGTGAGCTATGAACTACATTTGAAAAACTAAAGTTGGTGCTGATATCTCAAATTCTAGAAGAGTTGGTATAAATTCCATATTTTTTTCGAAATCACTTTGAAAAACTGCCATGAAAATGTGAAATTCCAATTTGAATATTTCCATAAATAAAGAAGTTATGGAGGAGACAAGAATATGATCAAATTCTGTTTTTTTGTGTATAAAACAAAAACTAATAGATTTTATCAAAATATTTTTTCACATTATAGTTGGCCATGACAAACTCCACATTTGGTATCATTTAACCGACCTCGTATCTCTTACCGTTAAAAAGATACCCATGGTGAGCATGGTAAGTGGGACACACTGTATACAGACAGAAGTGTGATTGCTTGTTAACAACGTGGTTTCTGATTCGAGCCAATTTCTTAATTTTGAGAAAAGATACAAGTGTTTCAAGAATGTAATCTCTCAATTTCAATTAACAATAATTTGAAACCTACCTTAGGAACTTGAGAAAGTAGATTACCTAACAAGTGCGGAAAGTGATGCTTCATGCACTTGTTAGGTACACTATTTTATCTACTTCCGTGCGGAAAAACCAGGAGTTAAGATGAAGAAATATTCATTATTATTGAATATTCAAATGTCAGAATATTCTCCAAAAACTTAAGAAATTTTCATTTCTGCACTAGCGCGGAAGAGTGACTCTTTCAACAATGAAATGAGTGCAGGAAGGTAGACTTCTCTGCACGCTAGTGAAGAAAATATTCAGAAATCAGATGAAAATAAAAAAATCTCTGCTTATACAACACAGTGACCCTTTCAACATTGAATTGAGTGCAGGAAGGTATGGACTTCTCTGCACGCTAGTGAAGAAAATATTCAGAAATCAGATGAAAATAAAAAAATCTCTGCTTATACAACACAGGGACATTCGATGGATGTCCAGTGAATATACATTGAGGATATTCTAGATATACACGGGACTTCCAAATATCATCCTATAGGCGTCCAGTAGATGTTTCAAAGCAAAGAACTCGATGAGCAATCAACGTAGATTCAATAAATGGAATAATTCACATCAGGGTGTTTCATTTGGAACAATCAAGCTGCTACGTTTTAATCATACAAGCGGAAGCACAGTTATGGTCTCTAATTTAAGCATACCAATTTTCAGAATTTTTTGCCTTTTCGTTATCCAGATACTTCTAATACGCCATCCACCGTGAATCACCCTGTGTATTATACAGAATGTTCCATATCTAAATGAACATACGAGACCTGCAGATAGAGGACATAGGACATCATCCTAATTCTGGCAAAATCTACATCTGATCATAATTTTCGAACCACTCTGTATGATACTGTCTGTAGGTTAATCGAGGAGGTGATACATTCAAGAAAATCCCAAAAAATTTGGAATAATGAATCACTCTGTATGATCTTCTCATACTTGATAGAGATATTCCTTTTATATGGCCCATCAAAAATTAATCAATATCGAGATCACACTCTAGGTCCATCTTAAGGAAAAACATACGTCTTCTCTTATTCCAAAAACCCCACTCTGTGTGACAAAATATTGTAGACCTGTCTTGATATTTGGAAAGAGCTGGAAAAAATAAATGAAGTAGCCTACTATTCACGTGCGCGCATCTAATTTGACGGATGGTTCATTATTTTTTGCTGAAATATTCAGCTCCATATCCAGGGCCGGGTTATCCATAAGGCGAACCAGGCAACTGCCTAGGGGCCCCGCACCGACTAGGGGCCCCGCACCGACTAGGGGCTCCGTGCACGATGAGAAAAAAAACGTTTGAAAAAGTGTATACTCCCTCAATATTATTCCCGAATCCTTATATATAACCGCGTCGCGTCTCATTTCTGTTTCCTGATCCATCATCATCACGATTCTGTTCTTCTTTCAGATGATTGTAATCAAATTATAAAACGATGGATAATTGCAATCCAATGAATGTTGGAACGAATTGTGTCAAGCTTCCAAAAAGTTATTTGTCCTGTGCAATTTTTTTTGTATGCATGCAAATATATTCCAAGTAGGAGCAGAAAATAAACGAGCTTCCAATTTTATTAGTTCTCTTATCCAGTAATTTTCTAACTGATGACAGGCAATAGGTGCTTGTTGTCAAATCATCGAATGACGTATCCATGGTACTATTGGAGAGTTTCCACTCACTTGATAATTTGGATAATCAATCACTCATAGATAGGTATAATGGCTAATGAGATATGTTTGAAATGTGGAAACATTCAAACATTTGGAATAACAACGGAAATAAGCGATATTTCAGACAGCGTTGTTTTGTTACAGCGCCGTTTTGTATAACGCGTTGTTTTGTCACGCGCTGTTTTGTTACGCGCTATTTCGTTGCAGAGCCGAGTCAGGCATGTGAGGTGATGCTGTAGCATCAATTCAAGGTAACCATGTTGTTACAATATCACACAAGCACAAGAGATTGAAGTAACAGGATACCAAAGGAATCGATAGGGGGCCTGATAGGGTTAATCCGGCCCTGTCCATATCGAGGCACTTTTAATGAACCCGAAATTCAAAATCCAATATAGTTACGTATAGTAATAGTCTCCACAGTTCAACATCATTGAAGTTGAATTAGGTGAACTATTGATGGATTTGTTTGTTCGACAGAATAGCTTGTCAATTATTTCAGAAATTTCAGAGGACTCATTTCAGTGTAAGCTGCGGTAGAGTAGACTGTGCAAAAAAAATTCAAAATTCTGACAGTTCATAATCACAGTGTGATATTATTGGTGACGTTAACGTGTTAGGGCCAAATGATGAACACTTTGGAATGTAAGAACCCAATACAAGCGCCAACAATTATCTTAACGTTACCAATCATATAACACTAGTGATTATGAACTGTCAGAATATCAGAATTTTTTGCATAGCTTACTTTACCGCAGCTCATGAATTATTGATGGTGAAGAATAAAAGGAGCCCTCGAAAATTTCTAAACTCATGGACAATTTATTCTGTCAAACGCATTAATCTATTGGTAGTTCGCCCAATTTGAATCTGATGATGTTGAACTCTGAAGACTGTTTTTTTTTGTTTCAGAATTGGATTCCGAATTACGAGTGCAATAAAAATGACTCAAAATTGAAGCAGAATATTTCAAAAAATAATAATAAGAAGTCTGTCAAATTTTATGCATTTCTGCAAAATAGGTTACTTCATTTATTTTTTCCCAGTCTCTACAAATATCGAAACAGATCTACAAAATTTCGTCATGCGCATCAGAGTGTTGTTCTTGAGATGAAATAAACTTTTCTGTTTGTACATGGATTCTGATATCAATTTTCATTTGATTTCGATGGGCAATATTAGAGGCATATTTTTATTAGATATGCATAGATTATACGAAGGGTTCAAAAATTATGGCCAAAAAAAGATTTTGCCAAGTCAAGATAACATCTTGATTTGAAACCATCACAGTGTTCTCTACCTACAGGTATCGTATGTACATTTGAATCTGAAAAAACCTGTTTAGTACTCAATCCTGGTATGCATTTTTTTGGGATTTGCTCTTTCGACTACGATAACACATAAGAATAACGAGAACATTCAAGGTATTTTTCACAATCGATTTAGGCATATTAGAAACCCCCACACATTCTAGTTGATGTTTAGATATTGTAACTCGAACCGAGTGAACAGTACTTTGGAATAACAAATATAAAGAATATGCAGAGGATATTATGTGTTCACATAGGGCACTATCGAAGAATAGATTTTGTTCATTACTTGCGAACACTGTCAATAATTTACGATATTCGAACTTACGATTTGTTGGATTCAGATGTATTGTTCGTTCTAGAAAAAAATGCCTCATAAGTATTCGATATTTTGTTGTCATTTGTTATCGTAATCGCAGTAGCTCATGAAATAGACAAATCATAAAATAACGCACGGTTTCTGGCGAGTGCAACAGCCTTTCACCCCAGTTTTAACAGAATTTTTTTCATGTTGAAAACGGAAGCAGTTTTGTTTCCGAAATGCCCAAAGATGAGTGGAAACTAGATTTTTTCCGATATAGAAACCTATCTATAGTCCTCTCCATCGAACATTTTCCAAAACAAGGTGTCACTGATAATCGACCCAATATTCCTTTTAGACCTTCTACTAGTGTAATTTTTAACGATGTGACATTTTGCTACAAATCTTCGGTTTGTCCTCACTACACGAATTATATTGAAATAATTCTCATAATTTCATTTCATAGAAACTAGGAGAAAATCTCAAAAATCTGGAGGAATGAATGTGTCACCTTCTTGATAAACCCATAGACAGCATTTGATCATCAGTATTTCATTGATATACCGATTACACGAAGTTAGTTGGACCATGTTCAACAAACATCACGGTTTTGTTTGAAAATTTGGTGTTGTGTATAACTTCTTCCTGAAAATGAAAATATTGTGACATATTCGACATCTAACTCTAGTCTTCGTTTCATTCTTCATTGAATGGCCAATAAGTACGAGATACACAAAAACGGAAACACAGCACGTAAGTACAGGTACCCCATATAGGATGAACAACCGAAATACACTTACAAATACATGATACCTTCGATTATCATTACCTATATTTCAGATTCAAACCAATCAAAATAGTGCCTCTTGAGATTGAGTGATGATATCACGAACATTTGATTAGACGACTTACTCTTCAATATAATTGCCTTTCTTTGATATAAATCTGTATGTTTGTACTTTGAACTTACAAGAGACCGTGAACATTCTTCTAATTGCTGATAAGCTCATCACTTGTTTCTGCCTCAGCGTATCCCCGATCAATCCGAAAATCATTCCAAAAATCATCCTGCAGAGGGGTGCTACAGACGAGAGGCCTCCTGTTTCTTCCAATTTGAATCCAATGACTTCGCTGATGAACTTTGGAACGTTGACTAGCTGAAGGTATAGACCCCATTCGTTACCAAAGTGACAGATCGCTAAGACCCAAAACGCTGGTGATTTTGCAATATCCAAGTAGGGTGGTATCACCTAGAACGTGTATTTCTCAGATCTTCCTATACATTATTATTGTGAAAAATTGGAGAGCAAAGTACCTGCGAAAAATAAGAAATCATTCGAACTTTGCCGGGAAAGCTGTGGTCTTCGAGATACGGTTTTTTTGCCGTCATCTGATGAAGAAATGATATATTCTGCGAAGGCATGTGAAAACATAGTAACTCAATTTCGCGATTTGATAACGAGATGAGAACCATGTAATCCGATACCAATTGAATGGTAGATCTCAATAACCTACCTGTGCTACCCTTAAATCTGATTCAAATCCACGTAGTCTAAGATCCGAACCTAAATCGACCTTCACCGAGCTGATAATAGAACGAAATATATTTTATCATGAATTTAGTATATTAGAAAACATATTAAAAATGGGTTCGCTAAAATAATCCTGGGCAGACTATTTTTAATTATTTTTCGAAAAATGATTTTTAATTAAATGTTGCAACATAGAATGTGCAGCCGTTGGGTTGTCTACTATTTACCTGGGCGAACTACTGGGTTGTCAGGTAAACACAGGTACATCGATGCCAGTTACTTTCACTGGATTGGATAATTAAAAAAAATGTATATAAGCGCTGTTTAATTGCGAACACGTTGATATAGGGTTGTCTGCGAAAATTCCGGTCCTATTAGGGGTTTGCGAATTTTAAAGATTTTAATTTCAACGCGCGTGGAAGTGTGTGACAGAGATCCGAGGTAAGTATACTGTGTAATAATAAAGGACCCAACATCGCAGTATTTATACTGTTTTTTAATAAAATTTTAAATCGTAATACAAGATGTCTAGTCTATCTTTTTTGTTATTTCTTAATTTACATCTTTGGCGGTCCACTTTGTTTCTATTTCCAGAAAGAGCAAAAAAATTTCAAAGTAAGTAATTGATATTTTTATTGTCTATTATAGATTATAGATATATTATTATGGTTATAACGCAATATATTGATATTATATTGTTTTTATATATTAGTATTATATTAAATTTCCCAAGGCTTGGGCGGCTACTGGGAGCGTCGGCAGGCGGCGGATAGCCGGACGGCCTACGGTGCGGGTAGTGCGACCCACTATCACGCTGCAGGTTATCACCGAATAACCAATAAGGTGACGCTGACCAACCCCCCAATCCAAGGTGTAACGCGACCCGTGCCAATGGATGCATGGCGGTGGGGGAGCACCGTCGCAAACGGAGCCTTGAGGATACCTGGCGACCTCCTCAAGTAAAGGCCTTCCCCCTGCAAGGGGCGCTGCAGGGGGCGACGATCCATTCCCCATTACTCGTGGGACCAAAAATGGACCAAAGAAATAAAAAGAAAATAAAAAAGAGGAAAGAGGGGACACCACAGTCCCAAAGAGAGGGAACCGTTCGGGTACCCTTGTCCCAACCAGAGGGAACCTTACAGGGACCCTCTATCCTGCCAGAGGGAACTCACAGAGGACCCTCATACCCATCCCTTCCAGCCTCTGGAACCGAACAGGGATCGGAGGCTACACAGAGAAGCTCTTCGGAGCTCTCGCATACCACCCCTACTGAGGACACCCCACCGGTGACCTCAGAAAACACCCAAACGGCAGGGGGATCTTTCGAGCCCCCTGACCTTCCTTCCCACCCTCCACCACCATCCCTATCTAACCCCCCTCAAAATCCTACAGCTGAAGCCGAGGAACGTCAGCGGACCTCGGCAGAAGGACAGTGGACTGTCGCTAAGAAGCCCAACGTTTGTGGGGCAGAGAGAAAGAGGAGGAAGAAAGAACGCCTGGCTAAGCTTGCGGCTCCAACTACTGGAGCCCCTGTTTGCCCGGGTCAGAAATCGACCACCTCTGACTCACAGAGAGGATCCTCCAAAGGAGCCTCGAGAAAAGACCCGATACCTGCCTCCAAAAGAGGCAGGACACCGGGATCCACCCCAGGGGAAACGGGGCGGGAGTCCAAACGTCCAAGGACCGGCAACCCTGGTCAGTGGAGGGCGGACTTCTCCCAGGTGACCACTGGGGACAAGTCCATGCAGTTGGTCATCACCCGAGAGGGTCAAACTGACGAAGGGTTCAGTGAGGACCAACTGCTGGAATTTCTAGATGCTGTGGGGGATACGATAGCAGAAATCCAAGCAGATACTGCACCCCCACAGTTCAAGTCTACCAGACTGTGGCGTAGGCAGCTACTAGTTACAGCTGCCAACGAATACTCTAAGGAGTGGCTTACCAAGGAGTTGGGAAAGATAACTCCTTGGAAAGACACCACTCTGGTGCTGATGGATCCAGCAAGGCTAAGGCTACGCCGAGCCATGCTATGGATTCCGGGAAAGAGGTTTCTGCCGAATGAAGATATCGTCAGGAGACTGGAAAGGCAGAATCCAGGCCTCTCAGGATCTTCATGGAAATTCTGGGAGAGGAAAGAAGAGAAACAGGGGCTGCGACTGGTGGTGGGGCTGGACGAACAGTCCATGAGGCTTCTCAGCCAAATGAACTTCCGGCCCTACTATAGCGCGTCGCACGCCTCTGTGACAATTCTCGAAGGGCCCTCGGCAAAAAGTAGGGTATCGAGGGGGACCGAACCTGGGACCTCAGGGACTCGATCCGGGCTGGCCGGACCTGCCGCGTCGGCCCTCCAGACTGAAGGAACCCTTAAAGGTGCCTCCGGGATGGAGATCGACGCGGTGGAGGCGACAGTCTCGGCGTCGAGTAACAGAGGAACCGAAGTCGATTCCCCGACACCTATAACCAGCGGAGGAACCTCTGAAGGGACCTCCGCAAACTCGGTTGGAGGAACTCCTCAGAGGACCTCTAACCGATCTCCCACCTCATCAGTGATGAGCGAGGAGCAGCTGATGGACCTTGATGTCTTGATTGAGGAACCTGAAAAGGGACCTCAATCGGATTAGGCCTAAGAAATGGCTGTAAAATTCTTACAGATTAACCTTCAGCACGGGAAAGCCCCAACGGCCTTGCTATGCCGAAGGATCCTGGAGTGGGATATAGACATCCTACTGATACAGGAGCCTTGGGTATATCGAGGCAAAATAAGGGGGATGGGAATGGGCGGAGGAACGGCTCACTACTGCACCTCCGTCGATTCCCCCCGTGCGTGCGTGTATACAAAAGGCATGGAGGTCTTCCCTGTCCCAGGATTCTGTACCAGGGACCTGGTGGCGGTGAGGATCCTCACGTCTGAGAATAATCGTAATCGGGAGGTGATAGTTTGCTCTGCATACTTTCCGTACGAATTAAATGCCCCACCCCAGGAGGTCGAATCGCTAATGCGATATTGCGAGGAGTCCGGGATGAGCCTGATTATGGGATGTGACTCGAATGCTCATCATGTATTATGGGGCAATCGGGACACAAATCCCAGGGGAAACGCTCTTCTCGAATTCCTTAGCACCAGTCATCTGGAAATTGTGAACGAGGGTTCAACACCAACGTTCTTTACGCCAAGGCGGCAATCCTGCATAGATTTGACATTATGCACTCGAGATATGCTGACCGAAGTTCATTCATGGAATGTGTCACAAGATGATTCTCTGTCGGATCATCGACACATTCTGTTCAAGTTAGGTGGGATAAGCCCACCTGAAAAGAAAAAATATAGGAACCCACGGACTACCAAATGGGACCTCTTTCGAGAGGAACTGAAAGGGAGACTAGTGGGACTACCATCAAAGTACGGAAGCGAAGCCGAAATAGATATGGCAGTGACATATCTAAATGAGGCAATCACTTCATCGTATGAAAATAGCTGCCCCCTCAAAGAGAGGTCGGACAATGCGAAAACGCCATGGTGGAATTCAGAAATAGGAAACCATCGTAGGCTTACAAGAAAGCTTCTGAACAAGGCGAAGCGTACTGGAGTACTAGAACATTGGGAAGAATATAAGTCGGCCCAAAAAACGTACAAGAAAGTCATCAGACAATCACAAAGGGACAGTTGGCGTGCCTACTGCGAGGATATAAATACAATACCCTCAGCAGCAAGACTTTGTAAAGTTTTATCGAAAGAAAGGGGGGAAGGTGTAGGTGTGATGTCCTTGCCCAATGGAAGTAAAACTACATCGGCGGAAGAGACATTACAACACCTAATATCCACACACTTCCCCGACTCAGAATTTACCAATGAACCACCTATGAGGACAAGTCCAGTGAGGAGAACTCACATGGATTACAAAACGGCCTCAAGGGTGGTTACATATGAGAAAGTAAGATGGGCCATAAAGTCTTTCGCACCATTCAAATCGCCGGGTGTGGATGGTATATTTCCGGCCCTCCTCCAAGAAGGACTGGATGCCATCATACACCTGCTTATGAAGATACTACGATCCTGTCTGGCTCTGGGCTACATACCAGTGGAATGGAGATCGGTCAGGATCGTTTTTATCCCAAAACCAGGGAAAATAGATTATTCCCAGGCCAAAGCGTATCGACCTATCAGTCTGACGTCCTTTCTCATGAAGACGTTGGAAAGGCTGATAGATCGACACATCAGAGAAGAGCCGTTGCAAACGAATCCACTGCACGAGCAGCAATTTGCCTACCAAACTGGAAAGTCCACAGACGCAGCTCTCCATCATCTAATTCGAAGGGTGGAGAGAGTGCTAGCTTGTGGACGATCTGCCATGGGGGTCTTCTTAGACATAGAAGGGGCATTTGATAATACGTCATTTGAGTCCATCTGCTCCGCTGCGGAAAGGCATGGAACTAACCCAACTTTGATTAGGTGGATTCGGGCCATGCTGTCACAGCGAGTAGTAAGAGCAGAATTAAGTGGGAGTTCTGTGACCGCCAGAGTATCGAGAGGGTGCCCTCAAGGTGGAGTTTTATCACCGCTCCTATGGTGCCTGGTGGTCAACGAGCTCCTTACAACACTCAATGAGTCAGGGATATATGCGCAAGCATATGCAGATGACTTAGTTATTATGGTTCAAGGCCAACCGGTGAATCACCTAGGGAACTCCATGATGGGAGCTCTCAGGAAAGTGGAACAG